AAAACATTAGAAACATTGGCGCAAAGTAAGCACATCAACCAAAGTTCTTCGAGGGCATCAATAACATTTCTTTCGATTAAATAATCCCAGCCAGTTATTCCAAAAACTATCTTTTAATAAAACAGGACAATTTATAATCCGCAAATTATTTGGAAACGAATGAAAAGTCAAAAGGAGAACGAACATCGAACACAATTTTCAATTTGCACAACGTATTTAGGTAGGTACATAAATAACAAATATAACGTATATTAACAAAATGATTAGCACTTCAAAATTTCAAGCAATGCGCAGAATCAAGTATAAAATCGCATGCGAAATGGGACATTCGACTGGTGGAGACCCACTCGTGTAAACGTACACGAACCAAATCGTGTACGGACCGGACCGTTCGAAAGTGATTCGAAAATACGGAACCCCAATTTTCATGCGAATTTCGGCTTATTTCGTATACGAACGGCATTCGAATGGTTTCGAAAATACGACCCCAAGAAGTTTCTTGATGTTGATACGAATTACTACAAGCTCTCTGATTAGAGCAATTTTACCTATCAGATTATTTTTATAAAATAAATTACTCGAATCGACTTTTTATAAACGAATCGAGTTTTATTATTTCAATAAAATAATACTTGATTAGGCTCGGTGGTATGAGTTCTGGATTTTTTGCTGACGTTTCGGTACCAAATCTGCTACCGTTGTCGAAGCTTGGGGGATGGAACACCTAAAAAATAAAAAAGGCAGAAAATTGTTCGGTTTTTTCGTAAATTTGTTTGAATACTCGAATTTGAGTTATCAAGCAAAAATTACAAATTTGACTAATGTAGTGTCAAACTTTTGACAATAATCATATCTAGGAAATGGTGGTATTTTCTAAAGGTGAGATTTAATTAATTTTCAATTTACCTTGGTTTACTTCTGATTCAAGCAAAGGAAGCCACATATTACTAAATGATGTTGAGCATGAAGCAACACATTCGTCTTTATTTGATAAAATTATTGCGCTCTCTTTGATTTTACGTGTTTTTGAAATAGCTTCCTTTGCCAGAATGCTAGAAGCATTCCAGTTGATTTGATGGTTATTGTCAAAAGCATGTTGGCATATGTTTGATTTGTTGAAGTCCCCGTTTTTTATATAGTTCTTGTGTTCTTTGATACGTTTTTGTAATGGCCTACGAGTTTCACCAATATAGAATTTATCACATTGATTACATGGAATTTTATAAATTACGTTTTTAGTACGAATAGTCTCATTATTTGGTTTTGTTTTTGTAATTTGTGATCTTATTGTGTTTTGTGTTTTGAAAATTGTGCGTATATTGTAGTCTTTACTGATTCGTTTTATTTTGTCTGACATGCCTGGTATATATGGTAAGTAAAGATTGGTTATTGGTGGGTCTGCGTTTTGTTTAGGTTTTGGATTTTCGAAGTTTGTGATGCATTTGTTTATGAATTGTTCAGGGTAATCGTTTTGTTTTAGTATATTTTTAATGTTTTGTTTTTCTTTGGTGAAAGTTTTGTGATTGTTGCATATTGTTTTGGCTCTGTCGTATAGGCTTTTAACTACACCAGTTTTTATCAAGATTGGGTGATTTGAATTGAAGTTTAAATATCTGTTTGTGTGTGTTGGTTTTCTGTATATTGTAGTTTTAAATTTGTCTACGTCTTTTGTGATAAATATGTCTAAGAACGGTAGTTGGTGATTTAGTTCTTTTTCTATTGTAAATTGTATAGTTGGTTCTTGTGAATTTATGTGTTGAAGAAAGTTATTAAGGTCGTCTTCATTGTGAGTGTAAATTGAAAATATGTCGTCTATGTAACGCTACCAAATAATGGGTTTTAAGTTATAATTTTCAATATTATTAATTTCAAAATTTTCCATAAAAATATTACTTAAGAAAGGTGATAAAGGTGAGCCCATGGCCATACCAGAAACTTGTTGGTAATATTCGTCATTGTATTGAAAATATGTTGTTTTTACACAAAATGTTAGTAATTCTAAAATAGTATTTACTGAAAGGTTAGTGCGTTCAATAAGTCTATTGTCGTGTTCTAATTTATGTTTAACTATGTTGAGTGTTTTGTCTATGGGAACGTTTGTGAATAAGCTAACAACATCGAAACTAACTAAAATGTCATTGGGATTTATGTCAATTTCTGATAGTTTTTCTAGAAAATGTTGTGAATTTTTTATGTATGATTCTGTATTGTTTATCAGAGGATTGAGTATAGAGAGAAGGTATCTGGATAATGGCTGTGTAGGTGAGTCTATGCTACTGACTATTGGTCTTAGTGGATTGTTAGGTTTGTGTATTTTTGGAAGACCGTAGAAATGTGGTGATTTACTGTGATGTGGAGTAAGTTTGCTACGTTGTATATCATTGAATTGGTTTTTATGTTTTTTTAAAAGATTGTATGTTTGTCTTTCAATGCGTTCTGTTGGGTCTTTTTTTAATTTTGTATAGACGTTTTGAGTAATTAGTGATGATATTTTTTGTTCGTATGTGTATGAATCTAATATAACAGTTGCGTTACCTTTGTCTGCTGGAAGTATCTTAATTGTGTTGTCTTGTTTTAGTGATTTAAGTATTTGGTTTTCTTTTATTTATCAAAAGGCTTAAATTTTTCAATAACACCTAAACACATTCCAAAATTTGACATTATAGCATCACTTGAAGAAACATCACAACACTTACCAGAAACACAACAAGAAGAATTTAGGGTCAGAATTTGACAAAACATTCAAAATCAAACAAAACCTAACATCCAAAGAAAACCAAATACTTAAATCACTAAAACAAGACAACACAATTAAGATACTTCCAGCAGACAAAGGTAACGCAACTGTTATATTAGATTCATACACATACGAACAAAAAATATCATCACTAATTACTCAAAACGTCTATACAAAATTAAAAAAAGACCCAACAGAACGCATTGAAAAACAAACATACAATCTTTTAAAAAAACATAAAAACCAATTCAATGATATACAACGTAGCAAACTTACTCCACATCACAGTAAATCACCACATTTCTACGGTCTTCCAAAAATACACAAACCTAACAATCCACTAAGACCAATAGTCAGTAGCATAGACTCACCTACACAGCCATTATCCAGATACCTTCTCTCTATACTCAATCCTCTGATAAACAATACAGAACCATACATAAAAAATTCACAACATTTTCTAGAAAAACTATCAGAAATTGACATAAATCCCAATGACATTTTAGTTAGTTTCGATGTTGTTAGCTTATTCACAAACGGTCCCATAGAAAAAACACTCAACATAGTTAAACATAAATTAGAACACGACAATAGACTTATTGAACGCACTAACCTTTCAGTAAATACTATTTTAGAATTACTAACATTTTGTGTAAAAACAACATATTTTCAATACAATGACGAATATTACCAACAAGTTTCTGGTATGGCCATGGGCTCACCTTTATCACCTTTCTTAAGTAATATTTTTATGGAAAATTTCGAAATTAATAATATTGAAAATTATAACTTAAAACCCATTATTTGGTGGCGTTACATAGACGACATATTTTCAATTTACACTCACAATGAAGACGACCTTAATAACTTTCTTCAACACATAAATTCACAAGAACCAACTATACAATTTACAATAGAAAAAGAACTAAATCACCAACTACCTTTCTTAGACATATTTATCACAAAAGACATAGACAAATTTAAAACTACAATATACAGAAAACCAACACACACAAACAGATATTTAAACTTCAATTCAAATCACCCAATCATGATAAAAACTGGTGTAGTTAAAAGCCTATACGACAGAGCCAAAACAATATGCAACAATCACAATACTTTCACCAAAGAAAAACAAAACATTAAAAATATACTAAAACAAAACGATTACCCTGAACAATTCATAAACAAATGCATCACAAACTTCGAAAATCCAAAACCTAAACAAAACGCAGACCCACCAATAACCAATCTTTACTTACCATATATACCAGGCATGTCAGACAAAATAAAACGAATCAGTAAAGACTAGAATATACGCACAATTTTCAAAACACAAAACACAATAAGATCACAAATTACAAAAACAAAACCAAATAATGAGACTATTCGTACTAAAAACGTAATTTATAAAATTCCATGTAATCAATGTGATAAATTCTATATTGGTGAAACTCGTAGGCCATTACAAAAACGTATCAAAGAACACAAGAACTACATAAAAAACGGGGACTTTAACAAATCAAACATATGCCAACATGCTTTTGACAATAACCATCAAATCAACAGGAATGCTTCTAGCATTCTGGCAAAGGAAGCTGTTTCAAAAACACGTAAAATCAAAGAGAGCGCAATAATTTTATTAAATAAAGACGAATGTGTTGCTTCATGCTCAACATCATTTAGTAATACGTGGCTTCTTTTGCTTGAATCAGAAGTAAACCAAGGTAAATTGAAAATTAATTAAATCTCACCTTTAGAAAATACCACCCTTTCCTAGATATGATTATTGTCAAAAGTTTTACACGACATTAGTCAAATTTGTAATTTTTGCTTGATAACTCAAATTCGAGTATTCAAACAAATTTACGAAAAAACCGAACAATTTTCTGCCTTTTTTATTTTTTAGGTGTTCCATCCCCCAAGCTTCGACAACGGTAGCAGATTTGGTACCGAAACGTCAGCAAAAAATCCAGAACTCATACCACCGAGCCTAATCAAGTATTATTTTATTGAAATAATAAAACTCGATTCGTTTATAAAAAGTCGATTCGAGTAATTTATTTTATAAAAATAATCTGATAGGTAAAATTGCTCTAATCAGAGAGCTTGTAGTAATTCGTATCAACATCAAGAAACTTCTGGTATTAATTTAAATTGAGGTGTAAGTCCCAAAAAATGCAAGGTAATATTATAAATCCACCTCAAACATACAGACATTTGTTATACAGGTGTAATAATACACCAATCGTCTTTCCACCCTATGTCACAGAAATTAGCTGCCCTCGGCAGTTTTGTCAATAGATCCATAGACATCCCCCTGTCCAAAGACGATAGAGAGATGGAAATCAAAATAATTAAACAAATAGCTCAAGACCACAATTTTGACCCTAATATAGTCAATAAGCTCATACAGAAGAAATTATTGAGGAATTTAGCTAATAATTCATATTTACCAACAACAAACACTAGTGTAGGGGGCAACACAGAAAGATTTTTCTCATTAATGTTTAATGGTGATATATCATATAAAATACAGAAGATCTGTTCACGTCACAATATTAAAATAGCTTTCAAATCAAAGAATACCTTAAGTAATTTTTTCATAAATAATAAAGATAAAATTGACCCTTTACTCAACCCTGGTGTATACCAATTGGCTTGCGGTTGTGGAAAAATTTACATTGGCAGAACAAAGAGAAATTTCAAGACGCGCTTCTCAGAACACTGTAGATGTGTTGGGTTAAATAACACAGAATCACTGTTTGCAAAGCATATTTTGGAAACGGGACACCAAACAGATTTCAAAAACAACCATAAAATTTTACATGTTGAAAGTAACAATGCTATTTTAAATAATTTGGAAGCGTTAGAAATTATTAGATCAACTAAAGATGACCCTGATAGAATCATCAACTCACAGACCTCTTTCCTGGATAACAGAATCTTGAGTTTGTTTTTCCAGTAAAATAAATTATTAAATTAGTTTTGCATCCCCTATTCCTAACCCTCATGTCTTGGTTGCCCTGTAGTTCAAAGTTTTTAGATATAAAAAATTGCTAACCTATTGTTCTTTGATTGTGTTATTACAGTTTTCTACGATTTTTACAGTTTTCTTACGGTTGGTTTTTTGTAATTACTAAAAATAACTTTCTTCAAATTTTGTCGCCCTCTAGGTATCAATGAGTTGATTTGTAAACAATGTTTTTATACGGTACAGTACCCTAGATTGTAACAGATTGGGTCGATAAAGGAGAAACGGTACAAGATAAACATGGTTGTCATATATTGGGTTAAATTTTTCAAATAATTAATAGAGGTCACCACACATACGTAGTGCTGTCACTCCAAAAAAGAGCACGTGACCTGAACCAACAAATATAATAATATAAATGAATAATATTTTAAAAAAAAGTCCTATCAGTTCTGTCAATGTTGTATCATCGTCCAAAAAATGTGAATTTGTCCTTTTACACCTTTTACACCTTTTTAAAATTAATTATTTCTAGTAACGTTTTTTAAAAATATATATGTCATTGTTTTTCGTCTATATACACTAATATTTACACAACAAGAAATCCCAAAGAAGCCAAAAAACCAAAAAAACAAAAAGAAAGAAAAAAACATGTTCTGAAGAGACACCATTTTGACAAATAAAGGTATTTTTCACATAATGGAATTTAATAAAAAACTTCCAACCCTTTGTAAACTTATCGAATTTCTACTGCTAATAAATTTCAATAATTTTCCTGGAATTTTTTCAGACTAAAAATATCAACCGACCTTCTTGTTTTTGGACATGAGTATAACACTCAAAAGGGTAACATCCCTTATTGACAATTTTGCCTAATGCCCAGGTATTGTTCCTCCGAATCGACCTGATTTTGACAACTCTCATTATTATTAAATATGTAAGTTACAGTTTTTAGATATTAAGACTAATATAACCAAGTTTAGAGGTTGATTGATTCAACGAAAATAATGCAACTGGTGCTCATTGTGGTATTTTTTCAATTTTAGTCTTTTTATACCTGAAGATGAAGCGTTGAAGCTTCGAAACCGGTAGTACATAAATAAAGAATTTTTGGGATTTTCAAGACTATATTTTCTTCAAACCTATCATCTGCCCAAAAAATGGACCACATACAATCCTTAGATAAAAATATGTTTATTTCATAAATAAATAACAATAATTAAGAAAATCAGCAAAATTTAAGGAAACTGAAAAAAAATATATATAATAAACAGCAATAGCAATTTCTACCTTGAAACGATATAACAGTGGCTAAAATTATGGTGCGATTACTGTGTAACAGAAAAAATAGACCTTTTTACTGTCTCCCCAGAACATCTAAATAAATTTCTGACTATCAATTTTAAAAGGGCAGCTTTTGGAACTGTCAATTTATATAGATCAACTATAAATCGTTTATCGGCCCCTGAATTAGCTGACGATGTCAGGGTGAAGAGGTTTTCTGAAGATGTGTATGGATTGAGGCCAAACTCACCAAAATACGATAATACCTGGGACCCTTCAATCGTGTTAGATCATTTTGGGAATTTTTGAAATAGAGTTAAAAAAAATAAATACTGCTGATAATGGTTTCCGCATCAATTAGCCAGAATCGTTGCAGGATCTCGCTACTTCAGCCCATTGATTGCCTAGAAAACTTGAAAAAAATCAATGACAAATTGAAGGACACAGAAATATTTAATCAATATGTTAATCGACTAGGTATGTGGCATAGATACGAAGAATAAAGGTATTGATCACAGTTACATGCTAGTCGATATATTTTTCAGGAGAAAATTTCTCACATTGGGCTCTTAGGCTAATGGTGCAAAAGTCCCAAATTCGAAGTTTGCGTTCAAATTTAATGAAAATGTGATGGGTTTTTTTTTAAAAATGTGTACCTAGCAGATCAAAGATTTACGCTAGAAGACTGCGAAGATTTCTTCAAAGGTGTCATTAGGAACTGTGTAAGAAGAAATAATTCTTTGAACATCAGAACTTCAAGGAGTAAGAAAAAACCCAAACAACTCTCGTACAATGCTAAAGTATCTGAGAACGAGGATAATAATCATAACGCATCAATACCAATAAACAGCCATGAAGACCAGTGATGTTGAAATTATGAAACCTTCTAATGAAGATGCTGATGGACAAGACTTGTTAATTTGTACTGTTAAACTGTTTTTTATCACATAGAGTAGGTACCAAAATTCATTGTGATGGTAAGAATTATCTTTTTTTTTATACACAGCGTGTATCGGCATGAGCGATTTTTTTCAACTCGAGAAATATTTGTCACTAAGGCCTAGTTGGTGGTAACCTGTACCGGTTAGCGAACCCACAGTTTGCGAAAAAAAATGTTTCACATTATGAAACAAACCATGGGTTGAATGAATACTGGTTAAATTCTATTTTTTAATGTTGGTAGCAGAATGAAGTTAGCAAGTGATAAAAGACCTGTAACGTGCTAAAATTGCCTTTAACTAATTCACACTTATTACATATACAATTATAGTATCCGCCAGACATATTCGAGATTCGTACGACAAAGTATGTTTATACACACCGCACAAAAATTGTCGCATCACCAATGCTTTTAAATATTTTGGCTACAGTAAATTTATTTTAAAAATTTCTTAAGCATTCGCTGAATGGGCATTCTTTAACTGAACAACTCGAGTCAAAAAACATGTCGTTTCTTCTTCTGTTGGGTTCTTGTTTACTTTTTTCGGAAAAATGCGGATAGGCAAACATTCCACTTTGCAATTATGATGTTCATTTCTGTGTTTTCTGGTTTGATAGATGCGATAATTTTTGTGCGGTGTATATTATCGGCCGGCCTGCATTTAGTCAGGGAGCAGGGGAGTCAGTGGATTCTGACCTTCTCTATTTAATCATTAGTGAAATGCTGCCCTAAAAAGTAGAGTAAAGACCACCTCACTCACTCCAGGATTTCGAATCCAGACCTCGATCCAAACTAATCCGGAGTATTTTCGAGGCAAATAAAATCAATTTTAACAGGTGAGACATAACCTAATAACGAGAGATTTTCTTTGCAAACTTGAACCACATTTTCTTTCCTTTCAAATCTATTTAATTCTGCTTTTTATACACAAATTATTTAAATATTTTTCAAGAGCTATAGTTTTACCTAGTAAATTAACCATCAATGGTTGACTAAGTGACATTCAAGTTACATTCATTTTCTTGTGGTTCATTTCAAAGTGCCTGGCCTTCGCTAGGGCTAAGTTACAAATACAGAGTGCTATAACAGTTTTTCTTTAGGGTTTTTACGTACGGCCACAAATTTAAGTATACGGCCAGCCTTTTTAGTTAGTAACTTAGTTTACTATATAGGGCTTAGGTATAGTATAATTATTAATTAACATTATTTTTTGTTCGTATTTTATTATCATCCTACCTACATAAGAATATCTTTAATTTTATGTTTTCTATCAAATATTTTATAGGTCCTAGTCTAGATATTCCAGTCACTGAAGCTATAGAAATAACTAGTGCTCAATAATCCGAATCGACGGTTTCTATAATAGCCATAGAATTAAATCCTACACCTGAGGATCTAACGACTGAAGATATCTATGAGGTAATATAAAATAAGTGTTAAATTATAGAAAAAAAAACGTAATAAAACACAAATACAGCCCTCATGCAGTTGGAAAAATTGGAATCAACAGCAGTTGAGGCAGCCTAAATTCAAAGCCTTGCAAATTCCTGGTAAGGAAGAACTTTTAAATTTGGTCGAATAGACTAATACTGATTTTTACTTTATGATGCAGAAGACAAAGCTGTTTCTATGATCGTCGATGACGAAAAAATTGTATCTCGCATTGTACAGGGTGTCCCATTTTCGTTGTCCCGAGATATCACGGTTGTTGTTGAAAATAGAGAATCGCGGTTTCCGCGAACGCTGCCTACTTTTTTGTGGAACTCACGATACCGCAAACAAAATTTTCATAGCTCTCTTCGTTTTTGACATACAGGGCAAAATTGAAAATGATTCATTTTGGGACCCCCCTTGTATCTTAGCTATCTTCTAACTTATCGCAAAAGTAAAAACTGATTCTCATATATTTTTTTTTACGTAGAATCCTTTGGCGTTGATAGATTTTTAAAATTAGCTGTCATTAATAAGATATAACCCAAACTTATGTTTTTTTTAAATGGAACACCCTGTATATTTTTCTATAATTGAAACATAAATGCTTTGCCCTTTTCAAAAATATATAACACTTTATGATATTTTGAATATTAGCACTGTATTTAGATAATTTTCAGTTTTTTCATATTTTTTGAAATATGGCAAATACATTATTTCTTAAACAACGCCTTAAATTTTGTGACCTAGATCCAACCTTTTCTAAAAAAAGCCAGTCTGAATATTTACTGAGTTCACAAACTAGAACAAATAAATTTAAACTTATGTGAAAACTACTACAAAACAAAGCTCTATATTAATTCTTCTTTTGTTGAAAAAGTTTTATAAATGAGGGAAATGGCTGTGTGCACATCAACGATGTAGAGAAGAAAAAAATCAAGTTCGACTCAGTAAACAAAAAACTTCAGTATTTAATCAAACAGAACCATAGTTTTAACAGAGACAGATTAAAAAACTCCAAAAAATTCTCTGATTTCAAATTTCACGAAAGAGTTAAGAATCTTTCTAACACTAATTTTGACGAAGGTGAGATGGACTTGTTGAATTTAGGACTGAAATATTGTCTCAAATTACCTCTTTCTGAGAGTGATCTTTTACTCTACGCAGTTGAGCTAGATGTCATTATAGAACAACTAACCAACGACTATAAAGTTAAAAAAACATTGCGGAATGATTTACATAGCATCTTATATGACACCAAAAAGAAGATCAATAAGTTCAATTTCTCCACCTCTGTTTTTCTAAATCAAAGATTAAAGAAATTAAAATCAAAGATCAA